ATCCTGCATATCAGATATTTACATTACGATTCATAACAGTAGCAACATTACAGTTATGAAGTAGCAACGACAGTAATTTTATGGTTGGGTCACAACATGAGGAACTGTATTTAAAGGGCCAGAAGGTTGAGAACCACTGCTCTAGTCCTTTCTTACAGATCATCACACAATCCGTTTTCAGAGCGATTGTTCTATCTTTTTATTATTGATTTCAGAGAGGAAGGGAGAGGGAGGGAGAGAAATAGAAACATCAATGATGAGAGAGAATCATTGATCGGCTGCCTCCTGCACATCCCCTACTGGGGATCAAGCCCACAACCTGGGCATGTTCTTTTGACCAGAATTGAACCGGGGACCCTTCAGTCCTCTGAGCCAAACTGACCAGGACCAGAGTGATTGTCCTAAAACACAACTCTTGGGTCACTTCCCTGCTCAAAAGCCTTGCCTGGCTCCCAAGTTCTAGAGAGGAGAGTCCACATTTCTTAACTTGGCCTTCAAGGCCTTCTACCCTCTGATCCCTGTCTACTCCTCAGCCCACCTCCCTTCTCTCACGCTCCAGCCCAAAGACGTGGTTCCCTGGGCGTGTTCTGTCTCCCCAGCTTCTGCTCACATGCTTCCCATTTCGTCCCTCTCCGCCCATTTAACTGCTCTCCACTCTTCGATATTCAGACCCAACGCTGCTTCTGTCCGGAGGCCACACAGGATTTCACTTCTTTCTCCATGTACTTCCCCTAGGTATTACCTGACGCTCGGGTTGTGTGAACTCATGTACTTCCTCCTGCCCCTCAGGGACTCCATCACGGGAGTGGCTGCCTAGGACGTCCGTGTCTCAGTTTCTTATGCTGAGAACGTTCCTCACAGGCAATCAGTCTCTGTTGGCTTGGATTGAATACAGTTATCTGAAATGGACCAGATTACTTCTTTAAAAACATATTTTTCATCTCTTGTTGGGACGGGGTGCTGGCAGAGAAAAAGGAAATCTGAGCTGAGTTGGCTTCTCTGTAAGGAAATACGACGTGACCATTCTTTTTTGCAAGTTCCCCCGTTTTCTGTTATCTGCTGTTTTTCAGCCTCTTGGACTCCTCTTTCCCTGCCGCCTTATCACTTCCTGCTGACCTCTGTCACCCTCGCCCGGGCCTTGACTGGCCTTGACATTTCGGAGGGTGGGGGGGGTGGTAACGGAGAAGATTCTTCCCGGAAGACCACCCCAAGGGGGTCCCTGATCTATTTGCATTCCCGTGAATTTCTTGTTTTGGGGGGCATCAGGGGGACCCTCCACACATCTCAGGCGGGGAGACTACTTGAGGTCCCACCTTCGATGGGAGAGCGGCTTGAACAGCCTGAGCCGGAAGGTGACAGCTCCCTGGCTCCCTGCGGAGAGGTGGTGGGAGGTGACCGCCATCTCCTTTTCCAAAGAATATGTATGGAATTAAAAAAAAAAAGAAACCTACAGAAAGGAAGGAGGGGGTTAAAAGAAACCATCATGGTCTTTGGAAAGACTTGGTTGAGCAAAAAGTGGCTTCCTGGTGTTTTGAAAGAATCGGGTTCTAACAAATGTCAGACACACCCAGTTCGGAGTTTGCCTAAATCATGAATGGCTTCCTCTGACCGGGTCAGTGCAAGTATCTCATATGGCCATGCCAGCCTCCACCCTCCTGATGGAGGCCTTTATGTCTGCACACCGATTTTGTGGTTGTTTTTTTAAATTTTTTTTACATATTTTTATTAATTTAGAGAGGAAGGGAGAGGGAGGGAGAGATAGAAACATCAATGATGAGAGAGAATCACTGATTGGCTGCCTTCTGCACACCCCACACTGGGGATCCAGCCCACAACCCGGCATGTGCCCTTGACCGGAATCGAACCCGGGACCCTTCAGTCCGCAGGCCGATGCTTTATGCACTGAGCCAAACCAGCTAGGGCTTGTGGTTGTTTTTAAAGGACACTGGAATTGCCCTACTTAGCTTCCAATTTCTGAGATCCTCAAAAATTATAATTACTATTGACCATAAGAAAGTATTACTGTAGTTACAGATCATTTTCTATGATATTTTTTCTTTAGGAATACTATTTTACTTGTGCCCTTAGTAAGATAAAGGATGTACACTCTGGGCATTGATAAGAAGTCATGTTTGTACAATCCATCCTGAAACTAAGGACCACTTTCTGTATCGGAACAGACAAAACAAACTACTCTGAAGACACTTATACTTGAAAATCACCTTCTGGACGTATATCCTCCCCCCATAAAGGTCACTGGAATAGCTCATATTGATTCACATGATTAAATCACCTTTGATACCTGAACCACATGAATTCAAGTGCTATACGATACAGTTATACAAAGAATATAAGCAAAACTGAGGAAAAACCTCTACAACCATTTTTCAAAGCAGGGACTGTTGTAGAAGTATGCTGTTGTTCTTTCTGTTCTACTGCAGTCACACGGATTTAAATATTCTGGGCGAATTCACCTCTTGGTCCATTGTGCTCTGGCTTAACTGGACTTTCCTTGAAAGTCAGCTCCCGAACGCTGCTTCATTAACTTAGCTCTGTGCAGACTTGCCCTCAGACCGGTGGGAAGTAGCCGGAGCGAACAGAGATGCGGAGAGTTGGCAGCGGAGCCGGTCAATATGCGCACTTGGCAGCGCACGCCTGCCTTGTGGTGCTTTGCTTTCCTCTTGACGGACGTGGCTTATTTTTGGGTTGAAATGCTGCGGCTTAAATTCAGCGACCCAGTGACAAGGCTGACACAGCAGGGCTCCCTTCCACAGAGGCTGGGTGGGGGGGGCCGGGGGGAGATGGACGAGGGCCAGGAGCGAAAGGAAGTAACCTCCATTTCACCTGGAAACATTAGTGTCTGGGGGCAGGAGGTCTGAGCTCTATATAAAGAGGGAGGAAAGCGGCCAAGTTGCTGAGCCAAACTTGCATCCAGGAATAAAGCAACATCAAAGGACTGAAAACAGTGTCTGCTGCTTCCACTACATATATCCCTGTGAGTAGCAGTCGGGGAACTCGAAATACAGTCGACCTATGAACCAGGAGGTCAGGGTTCGATTCCTGGTCAGGGCACATGCCCGGGTTGTGGGCTCGATCCCCAGTGGGGGGCGTGCAGGGGGCAGCCGATCCCTGATTCTCTCTCATCATTGATGTTTCTTATCTCTCTCTCCCTCTCCCCTCTTCTCTGAAATCAATAAAAATATATTTTTAAAAATAAAGGGGGGCAGGAGAGTTCTTCCCTGTGAGGCCCTGGGCCATGGCCGTGTCTTCTGCAGGGTTCTCCAGCTCCTTCTCAGCCCCTCAGTGGTCGGTGCACACCGCGACGGCGTCAATGTTTGCATAAACTCTTGCTCAAGAGCTCGGTTCCTGTGTGCCCAGAGGGTTAGGTTAAATTCCTCCTGCTGGCCCAGTGCTCTCCCCACTCGGTTATTTACTCTTCTAACCTCTTCACCGGCTTTTCTCCAACAGGGAAGGTTTATTCGTCTCATTCTTCCAAATCCACTCTAACACCTGCTGACAACTCATCCCCACAGAGCTCCCTACTTAGATTGTCGCTGTTTGTTTCCTAACTTTTGGTAAGATTGTTTTATTGTGAAAGGATGTGCATCTTCCTCAAACTGGATAATTGGTCCTTAAATAACTATAGCCCATGCCTACGTGTTACTCTCATTTTGGAAAAGGTTAGATAATAAATTAATTTTTTTCATTTTCTGACCAAATATAGTTATCCTGTATAATAAAGGCTAATATGCAAAAATCGACCGAACGGCAGAACGACCGGTCACTATGACATGCACTGACCACCAGGGGGCAGACACTCAACACAGGAGCTGCCCCCTGGTGGTGAGTGCACTCCCACAGGGGGAGCACTGCTCAGCCAGAAGCTGGGCTCATGGCTGGTGAGTGCAGTGGCAGTGGCAGGAGCCTCTCCCACCTCTGTGGCAGCACTAAGGACCCCTCCGGGGATGTCCAACTGCCAGCGAACATCCCCTGAGGGTCCCGGACTGTGAGAGGGCATAGGCCGTGCTGAGGGACACCCCCCAGTGCACGAATGTCATGCACCGGGCCTCTAGTTTTTTCATAATGTTTAAAGAGTTAATGGATAGCTACAGATAGGGAGGATGTTACTGATACTTGGGATTTTATTATTTTTTCTGTTATTAATAATAATTGGAAGTAACTGGAAATGTTACAGACATTTGCTCTGCAGTGTAGTTTGTAGGAGGCATTTTCAGACATGTGGTCCTGCATTAAAAATGCTGTGAGGACGCAGTGTATTCTGTACAGCTCTTAAGGCAGCGGTTCTCAACCTGTGGGTTGCGACCCCTTTGGCCGTCGAACAACCCTTTCACAGGGGTCGCCTAAGACAGTGGTCGGCAAACTGCAGCTCGAGAGCTACATGCGGCTCTTTGGCCCCTTGAGTGTGGCTCTTCCACAAAATACCACGTGCGGGCGCGCACGTACAGTGCGATTGAAACTTCGTGGCCCATGCGCAGAAGTCGGTATTTTGTGGAAGAGCCACACTCAAGGGGCCAAAGAGCCGCATGTGGCTTGCGAGCTGCAGTTTGCCGAGCCGCAGTTTGCCGACCACTGGCCTAAGACCATCCTGCATATCATATTTACATTACGATTCATAACAGTAGCAACATGACAGTTATGAAGTAGCAACGAAAATAATTTTATGGTTGGGTCACAACATGAGGAACTGTATTTAAAGGGCCAGAAGGTTGAGAACCACTGTCTTAAGGGACACAGATTTAGATACTATGATCATCATGATCTCCCTGTGATGGAGGGACCTTCTCCCAAGTAGCGAGTGATCTATGTTCAGGAAGCACTCCATGGTGCGCTCTCGCGGATCGCACAGGGACCCACATGATAGAGCGAACAAGTTCTGCCCATTAAATTTAGTGACTTGAACAAATTTTTATTATCCTTTTGTAAAAACGCAAGCTCTGCCTCATCCAAAACCCAGTTGTGACTTAATGAGGTGTTTCGGCATGTTCAGAGAAGCCGACGGTTTCATATGGCGGGATTATTGCCGCATCAGCTATCAGCTACTACCAGCGCGCGCCCGGCCTGCTCTCATGACACACGGCACTCAGAATACTCAAGTATGGACAGATGTTTCGGAATATCGTTTCCCCCTCTTGGCTATTGGTTGAGTTCCAGCGCCCACTCCTGATTCGAATGCAAGATGTTTTCTTTGATACTTGGAGTCTTTAACGACCCAATCAACTCTGTAAAAGACGCGCAGCGTGCCAGGAATTTGGCATGTGTGGCTGGGGTGTCTTCTTGGACCTCTCGCCACTGACGGTGGATACGGATGCTCCGTGACAGCCTCTGTCACTCTGCTCACCGTCCGGAGCTGACGGATTAGTAAAGGGCACGCAGCTCTGGCAAAGGGATTGTGAAGTGCCCCGCACAAGGTTTTAGCAAAAAATCAAACTTGTGGTTTCATTAGGGGATTTGGGAGGAGGGACCCAGGGCCTGATTGCAGGTTGGCGTGGATTCTCTATACAGGGGGCCCTCTCCCCATAGAACCCACGATGGACTGTACTCCTCAACTGTTGGATGCGCCTGGCCGGCATGGCTCAGTGGTTGAGCGTCTGTGAGGTCACAGTTCGATTGCTGGGGAGGGCACATGCTTGGGTTACAGGCTTAATCTCCAGTGCGGGGCGTGCAGGAGGCAGCTGATCAATGGTTCTCCCTCATCATTGATGTTTCTAGCTCTTTCTCCCTCTCCCTTCCTCTCTGGAAAAAAAATACACACACACACACACACACACACACACACACACACACACCTGTCGGATGCACTTTTAAAAAGTGAAATTGAGGGAATGATTGGATTGGGTTTTGCAATGATGAGAATGATGCCTGGGCCCTCAGGGATCAGGAGGGACTTTTTTTTCCTTTGGGTCTGTACAGAGCGAGTGTGTTTACTTATACTAGGAACCCTATCGGGAGCTCGAGGTCTTTTATGTCTGAATACAGTGCATCCTCCAGCCACCTTGCTTTTCTTAAGGACACAACCTGAGCATTTACCAGTACTCCCATCTCCCAGGTGACAGATTACCGTCTTGCTCCCCCTAGTGGAATTGTGACTCTGCTGCAATATTTGAGAGTACTGTGTCAGTACGTGCTTGATTCAGCATCTTACTTGTGGGAATCTGGTATCGTCTCAATTTGTTCTCAAAGACTGAGGTTAAAATCGAGAAGCGTTGCATTGTATGGGCTGATGGGTGTGCCTAGAGACACTGGTATTTTACGGATGCATTTTCAGTTTCTAGTGGTAGCAAGGCTAGCCATGTCCTTTATAGTGGCGCCAACTTCCAGGGACACCTCTGCCCTGCACTTCTCCGTCGGAGAGGGGTCAGATGTCACCAGCCGTGCAAACAGTCACCTCCAGGAGCCGGCTGCCACTGCCGGCAAAGAGGGTCGTGCGGCTAGTGGGTGAGGTTGAAACAGGACAGGGCCCGTCTGAGTGCTGACGCCCACCTGCGCCATCGGTGAGGCAGGCACAGGGGGTATTCCTGTGCCTCTGGGTCTGCCCGAGGGGCTGTGCCACTATCCATAGCACCTGGCTCATTGTCAGTTCAAGGCAGTTCTAATAGAAGCTGAAATTCCCACAGACCTCTCTTAAGAGTTTACATTTCTTTTTTTAAAAATTGAATTTATTGGGGTGGTAGTGGTTAATAAAGCTACACAGCTTTCAGGCATACAGTTCTGCAGTACATCACCTGTCTGTTACATTTCTTTAGGGAATGATAACCTGAGGTTTCATGGCATCAGAATCTCCCTTTGTCCCCTGCCACTATTTGCTTTTCATAACCTTGACCCTTGTTATGAATTGGTGTCCGTCAGCTTTGGACCGGCTGCACCCAAAGCACTCCTGTTTTGTGGACGCTGGTGTCGCATGTTGAAACGTCAAAAAGAAAAGCCCGCCTGTGCCCAGCTTAGGATCCTACTCTTTTTCAGGGAAGGCTTTGCCTCTAAGCCTTATTCAGGTCAAGGCGAAAGCTCCAAGGATACAGTGGTTTCCAATCAGTGATCAGTACAGTCTAAGTACTTTAAACTCACGAGCAAGGACGCTGTAATTAGAATAGTTCCCCTTCCTTAAAATTATGTAATTGAGACAGTATTTAGATCTATCTTTCCCCAAATATTTATTCCCAGAGTAATGGGTTATACTTAGGGAAAAAGAAGACAGCAGGATCGGATTAAAATCCCAGCCAGTGAGAATGCCAGTGTGCTTGCTGGGCATGTTGTATGTGGGATGTGTAGAGAGAAAGAAACACCCCTATGTCTATTTTTAAAAAATACATTTTTATTGATTTCAGAGAGGAAGGGAGAGGGAGAGAGATAGAAACATCAATGATGAGAGAGTCATGGATCGGCTGCCTCCTGCACTCCCCCTACTGGGGATCAAGCCCACAACCCGGGCATGTGCCCTGACCGGGAACCAAACCGTGACCTCCTGGTTCATAGGTTGATGCTCAACCACTGAGCCATGCAGGCTGGGCTCATTATGTCTTAAAAAAAAAATACTAACTTGCTCAAGAGTCACAGTAATTTAGTTCAAGAACTGCATCCATGCAAACACGCAGCTTCCGCTCAGGCAGAGCGCGTGCCGGTGAAGCTCTGGTCTGGAGCCCGGTGACGCCTGGATTCAGGGCTGTGAGGACGAGGATGTGGCAGTGGCCACTCGGCCAGCTGGGGCGAGAGGTGCCGTCTGGCAGGACAATGGAGAACAGGCACTTTCCTATCCCGAGGGCAGGGTAAGGGGTTTGTCTGTGAATCGACATCTACCCCGTGTACACACACACGCGTGGAGATGCCCGTGCAAACGCAGGCGTGTCCGTGTGGGCGTATCTCTGCATGCGTGCATGTGACTGCAGTGTGGGAGAGTTCCAACAGTAGCTCGGCTTCCCCTTCCCAGTGGATGCTGGGAGTTCTATGCACTGACAGCCCCTCCACAGCCTGGGTGTGGACAGGTGTGCACCCCACCCTCTGCTGGGATTCTGGGCATTGGGGGTGCGCTGCGAGGCAGGCCCAGGGCGGTGCCGAGGGCGTGGGGAAGCTGCCCGCACCCGCCCTGCTGGAGGGCTGAGCTCGCCTCCTGCCTGGCAGCCTTGTCGGGTGGCTCTCCTGGAACATTCCAGCGTGGCCGGAACCCTGGTCTTTCCTGAGAAGCGCGAGGACTGAGTGCCATAGTGTCGTGCGCGTTCCCCCCACTGGCGAGGGACGAGAGAGGCTTTCTTACCCGGCTGCTTCCTCAGGTGAAGCCCCGAGGTGCCTCACGCCGGGATGGGCTTGTCCCTCCGCATCTGAACTTCTCAACTGTTGACTCCACATCAAGATCCTTGGGGCTCTGCCTCTGCTTGTCATCGTGGTTACTGGGCGTGGAGATTCGTTTTCTCTTGGGGCTCACAGAGGCGGGGAAGTGCACGTGAGCATTTGGCCAGGAGCACAGCAGGTAGAGGGTTATGAAACAGATGAATGAGATTCAGGATTTTTGTTGAGCTCAGTGGGTGTGGCTCAGAGGTCACGGTTCGATTCCCGGTCAGGCACATGCCTGAGTTGTACGCTTGATCCCTAGTAGGAGGTGTGCAGGAGGCAGCCGGTCAATGATTCTCATCATTGACGTTTCTATCTCTCTCTCCCTCTCCCTTCCTCTCTGAAATCAATAAAAAAAAATAATAAAATAAAAAATAAAACATGTTGTTTGTGTAGGGTTATATGGCTATAGAGGGTTTTCCCACATGTTATCTCATTTCTTCCTGGTAACAGTCCTGCGAGGGGCTGGGCTGCAGAGAGCGTGCGCCCCCCGGTTGCGCTGGGGAAGGAGCTGCAGGCGTGGAGCTGGCTTTGCCCAGGATTCTCACTCCTTGGCCAGGCCCAGCGCCAGCCCAGAGCCCTGTTTGCAAGCTCATGCTCATGAAGGCGCTTCCTGACGCTTTTCTGGGCCCTTCTCCTCACCTACCTGCGCCCAGCAGAGCTGGTTTCGCTTCCGGCTGTGTCTCCATCACACTTGATAGACCCACTATGCGTGGAGTCTTGCTTGATGTAGGCGAGGCCAATAGGAAGCCCTGAGTATCGCCCCCTCTTTCTGCTCCTCACCCGCCTTGATCCCATGCCCTTTGGGGAGGCAGTGGGTGTGATCAAGACTAAAATACTCAGGCTTGTTGGTCACGCGATGGGAAGTGTTCGGGAATGATGCCCAAGGTTTCCCAACGTTGACACGGAAGCGCGCAGGAGGCCAGCAGCTTGGCCACTAGCGTCCTGTGGGGATGGGTTGTTTGAGGATGGGGTGCCGGGGACATCATCTAATGAGAGGTGGGGGCGGCGGGTTACAGGAGTCCGTTTGCACAAAATCACAGATTTAGTCCTTTCCGTGATGGGGAAGTTAAGGGCCTGTCAAGGACCATTTCAACTGTGGGTGATTTTCATGTCACACCAGTAGCCCCAGGTCAGATGTGACTGTGTCACGGCCTCCACATCGTGTTATATTTATTTCTTTATGCAACTGTCTCCCCTCTAGACTTCCAGGGAGGGAGGCCTGGGCCCGATCTGTCTTTGCCAGCTGATCGTGTTGGATTCACTTTGGGGAACACCTTTTCTAGCCTCCCGCCTCTGCATGCAATCGAATGTATTCAGTCAGAGTTGTGATTCAGACTCTCCTGCCTTTGCAGCCGCCACTGGTCCAGGCCATCTTCAGCGGCGACCCGGAGGAGATCCGCATGCTCATCCACAAGACGGAAGACGTGAATGCTCTGGTAGGCAACACTGGGCTCCTGCCCGGGCCCCTCACCTTCCCCGTACCGTGGCCTCCTTGGTAGCTGGCGAAAGCTCAGGACTGCTTCTCAGAAATCTGTTTTTAAATCCATAAAGTGAAATGTCTAGGGTTAGAAAGGAAATCAATGACACTGAAGTACAGTTATCAAAACATAAAAAATCGGATTTGTGATAGACTAGATGTGCTTCTCTAGCAACACATTTAAGTAGCAAGAGGCAGCAGAAGGTCCAGTAGTGACCATAATTCAAGAATAGCGACGAGCATGATCTGCGCTGTGTTGAAAGTGCTCTGATGTGGGGTGAACGTACCTGGGGTTTCTGCTGGGGGCCCAGCCACTGTTACTGCTGATGCTGAGGTTTGCCGCCTACGTTCATCATGGAAGTTCGTGAAGCCCTGGCCGGTGTTGCTCAGTGGTTAAAGTGTTGGCCCTTGCACCAAAGGGTCTCAGGTTTGATTCCTGGTCAGGGGCACATACCTGGGTTGCAGATTTGATCCCAGATCCTGGTAGTGGCAGGTACAGGAGGCAGCCAATCCATGTGTCTCTCTCACATCGATGTTTCTCTCTCTCTCTCTCTCTCTCTGTCTCTCTCTCTCTCTCTCTCTCTCTCCCTCCCTCCCTCCCTCCCTCCCTCCCTCCCTCCCTCCCTCCCTTCCTTCCTCCCTCCCTCCCTCCTTCCCTCCCTCCCTCCCCTCCTCCCTCCTTTCCACTGTCTCTAAAAATCAATGGGAAAATATCCTCGGGTGAATCCAAAGATGTGATATTTTTATATCTGGAACCCATGCCCTACAGCAGGGGCTGACCAACTGTGGTCTGTCACTGGTGTTTGTACAGACTACTGACAAACGATAGCTTTTATTTTTGAAATGGCTGAAAAAATGAAAAGAGTAATGTTTAGTGACATGAAAATTATACGAAGCCCAGAGTCTATAAATAACGTCTTGTGGGACACAGCCATGCCCGCGTTTGCTCTGCAGCGAAGAGCTGAGTAATTGTGATGGGGACTGTGTGTGGCCCCAGTAGCCCAACTCTGTACAGTCTGGCCCTTTCGAGGGAGTGGTTGCTGACCTCTGCCCTGCAGTGTGCATGAGCCCGGGATCACGGATGAACTAGGCATGCTGTGTGTGCCTGACATCATGTGTCATGTACGTGTGCACCTGTGGGCATTTGTATTTTTCTGTGAAAGGGTCAAGACATTGCACCAAATTAGTAAAAGGGTCTATGGTTCCTAAAAGATGAAGAACATTGTATTGGGAAGATCTCAAAGCCAATGAACCTGCGATGAAGAAAGAGTTAGTCAATCATTTACCCTTTGAATCGTTGCCGAGACCTGGGTGGAACAAGCAGTGACATGCAATACGTGCTGCTAATTCTCTTAAGGTAACTCTGTTACCTAAGTGCCCGGTCCCTCGGGGAGGGAGCTCTCTCTGAAGTCTCTGGTGTTGAGTAGAAGCAGCAGAAAGAGGGGAGCCCATCTGCCCCGCGAGGGGAGCTCTGCCCAGGGTGTGAACTGTCTGAGGGTGTATCCCTGCCCGATCGATCAATCGATCGATCGATCGGCTGAATGCTTCATTCAGAAGGTGGGCCGTGGGGTGCGGCCTCGCTCTGGCCGTGCAGGTCGCTGTGGCTTTTTGAAAGAGCTTCCGGCAGCTTCTCCCCTGACAATAATGGGGCAGTGCTTTGTGGCATTTCTGCAAAGTCAGCACAGACGAGGCCAGGGCCAGAGTGCCCGGGAAGGCAGTTGGGCATCTGCCCAAGACCTGCGGGGCGGGACTCATGTTTCTGAGGGTCAAGGCAAGCCATGCCCTGACATCACCGGAATCTGCCCGCGTGCTTTGTGGCTGCAGCCCAAGCCAGGGCGAGCCAGAGGCAAGGTTCCTATCTTCCTGATGGTCATGAGCCGATGGGTCAGGAGAAGGATCGTCCTGGCCTCTGAATGGCCTCTGTCTCCTTAGGAGAGTGACGGTCGCTGGTTGGTAAAGGTTAGGAGAGCTTCGTTTTAGCTGTAACTTAATTCTACTGGATTAGTCAGATGGGTTAGCTGTTGTAACACACAGACTCTCAAATAGGAGAGAAGGTGGTTTCTCTTATGAACACGTTAGAGAGGTGGCTCTTTTCCAGGAGGGGCTCCAGGTGTCAACCTGTGGCTTCCAATGTCGCCCGAGGGGTTCGGCTCCAGCCCAGCCAGAGGGGAAGAGCATGGAAGCAAAGCCTGGAAGGGCTTTATGGATCAGCTCGGAAGTGGTACAGTCACTTCCACTCCCCTCCCCTCCACCAGAGCTCAGGCACAGCCGCACCTAACTGCACGGGGTGGGGGGAGGGGGGGACGGGGAGGGTGATGAGCGTAGCCGTGTCCCCAGTCTGAGCAAATGGACTCTGGTGAATAGTTAGCAACCTTGGCCACACCAATCCTGGGTCTTACGGAATTCTAGGGAATTCGAGCGATCACCACTTTTCTGCGCAGTGTGTTCTTTCTTTGTTTATTTTTAACGGATGTTTTTATTGATTTCAAGAGAGAGAAAAGGAGAAGGGGAGAGAGATCGGGTATCAAAGCAGCAACCCAGGTATGTGCCCCGACCGGGAATAGAACCCGCAGCCTTTTTTGGTGTATGGGACCATGCTCTAACTGACTGAGCCACCTGGCCAGGACGACTGGAAAGATTTTAGAAGCTTCAACAGGCGAGCCAAATTGAGCTCAAGAGAGAAGAACATCTGAATTAAAAACGAATGCAGAGATTCTGCAAACCAAAACTTTAACGCAGTCATGGCATGTTGGGGTTTGTGCTTTGACAGCATGACATCAACAGACAGTTTTCTGTGCTACGTGGGGACGGGGCAGCGGCACTTTGGCGCCTGTCACGGGCGAGTGGTGAGGATGGAGGTGGTGTCCGTGCCATGTGAGGAGTGCTTGGAGGACCGCGTGATGTTTTAAACTTGGAAGGGACAGGAGAGTGTTCCCAGGTAGTTCAAACACTGTCAGGTCCAAGTGGAACTAAGCTTAATCATTATGTCACGTGGTTGTAAGCTACAGAAAATAAGATTTCAGCTCAAAATATGAAAAATAACTTAGCAGACAGAGCTGTCTGAAGAAGTAATGAGTTGCCTTGACAAGTAATGAGCTCCCTGGGAGACCACTAGACGGGGTTCTCACGGTGCTAATAACAGTACATGTGGCCCCACTGTCCTAACTCGTGCCCTTGGCCAGCATCGCTGATGAGTCATGACTTTTTTTCTTTGACTCGTAAAGACCAAGGTTTCTCCTAGCCCATCACCAGCCAGAGGGGAAGAGCATGGAGTTGGCCTGTAAATGGAAATGTTTTTTCCATGCCTGGCCTACGTGATGTTTAAAGTCTGTTACACTCTGAGAGACTACAATTCCAAGATTTGTAGGTCCCGTGTGATAGCAAACCCGTGATGTTACTTGTTTTTTAAAGTATCGCTAACAGATATGAATGCACACACACACACATGCACACCACCATTATCATACCAAGTAAAACGAACAATAATCCCTTAATGTTAGCTAATACCCAGTGTATATTCAACTTTATTTTGTTCAAATAGCCTCAAAAATGTCTTTTTACACTTGGGTTGTCCCCAAGTTACCCCCATCTGTTTTGTCAAGCTGTTAATGTGTGTTATATGACCACAGGATTTGGCATTTCGCTCACACTCCCCAGTTCCAGGATGGGAAGGGATGCTATGTGAATACAATAGAATAAATCTTGAGGTGAAAGCTAAGCTTATGTTGGCAAAGAACTTATAGAGGAAAAAAAAACACATTAAAGCTGCATTTTGGATGCCGGGCATTGATTAGGTGATAGTGGCCTCTGAGGTTCCAAGTGAGAAAAAAGAAGCCATATCAACATTGTCTGATGAGGGCACTCTAAAAAACACAAGACAACTTATCCCCAGTGAGCTCGCAATCTGTTCCTGTGTGTCTGTGTCTCAAAATGGTCAGACCATAAGTCTAGTCAGTATCCATCTCCACAAAGAGTTATACATTTTTTTCTTGCGATGAGAACTTTCAAATATGTAATACAGTATTATTAACTCTAGTCGCCATGCTGTATATGACATCCTCATGACTTATTTATAACTAGAAATGTGCACTATTTCTTTTAAAAATAGAATATTTTATTTTTTCCATCACCATTTATCGCCTCTGTGCCCTCTTCCATCTCCCCCCTCCCCCAATCACCACACTGCTGTTCATGCCCCTGAGTTCTGTCTTTTTTTTTCTTTTTTGCTTAATCCCTCCTACCGAGTAAAAATGGAATATATTTTTTGATCCACCCAGAAGGGTGCAGTATGACTTTTCCAAAAGAACTTGAAGGGATACATTTAATATCTTCTCTGAATTTTTCGCAGCTTCATTCTGCCATGTCAACTCCCTGAACCTTAGAAATACAAACTCCATAGCACAGCCTTGGAAACCTCCAGCTGTTTTGTGTATTTCCCCTCACCTGTGTATATTTTACTTTTTTTTCCCCCTTTTTTTTTTCAATAAAGTATTTGGTAGGGGAATAAAGACCAGGATGTTTTGTGAGCTTAGGGACCTGGCGCCTCTACACTAGACGGACATGCGGAGGCCACTCACCAAAGGAAAAACGAAAAAGTTTCAAAACATGTAAGACAAGGTGCTCAGTCTCAACCTCATCTGAAATGGAAGATTCATATCAGACAGCCACACAGTGTCATTCTTTACCTGTCGGGTCAGCAAAGATGAGAATAACATCTCCAGGAGGGTGTAGATGCAGGGGTACTCTGGTCCCTTTCTGGGGAGAGTGTCATTTGGACTCCCCTCTGGAGGGCGGTTTGGCAGACTCTATCAACATTTAACTGTGTCCACCCTTTCACACAGCAACGTGACTCCCGGGATTTTCCCTAAGGGAAATCATCAGACATCTGTATCTATATCTACATGTATATCTACATGTATATCTACATGTATATCTACATGTATATCTACATGTATATCT